AATATTTTCTATTGGGCTCAAATTTCTTCAGAGGGATTCATGACCTTTAGAGCTTCTAAAAAATAAGTTTCAAAAAGTGCCAGAGTGAATATATTGCTCAATGTTTTCCCGAAAACAAGCAGCCCTGATATTTACAGATATAGACTCTTGACTTGAATTCTGGAGCTTGAGATGTGCACATTGAAGGATCTTAACATCACCATTACCGTGTGTGTGTGTGTGTGTGTGTGTGTGGATGCACATGCATAAGTGTGTGTGTTGGGTGCGGTGAAGCAAAAGACCTTCACCCCAAACCAAACATGCATGCACCCCCCCCCACACACACACACACCACTTATCAGCTTTAAGTGCAATGAAAAGAGGCCTCTCTCTACCTGCCGTCACTTTCAATCTCAGAGCTTTGAGCCGCTACTTTGTTAAAGCTCTGCGGCTGACGAGAATCCGTCTAACTTCAAAGGTCTTCTCTCTCCTCCTCCTCCTCCACCAGGGCCGAGTCTGAACTGCAGGTCGGCACATCAGAGATGGGCTGTTGAAGAGAAATGACAGAGTGGACGATGACTGAAAGACTCAAATAAAATATGAGGATCATGTTTTTTTGCATTTTATGGTTTATGTATTTCAAACAGTTATTAGTTATATTAATGACACACATCTGTTAGGTTGTATTTTTTGGATCTTAACTTCCAGTTTATATTTACTTACACAAAAAGTGACGCAAATTCAAAGTTTAGTTTGACCGGTTCAGTTATTCCTCTTTTTTTCTTTACTACTGTTTAGATGCTATTGAATCCTAAATTATTATAATCTTAAAGCAACAAAAGTACTAAAATATCTGACAGTGAAGATTCAAACAAGTAACAACATCATTTTACTACAATGCCCCAAAGCATAATTTATGCAATGATCATTTTTAAGATGGTTGAATGTGTCTCAGTCCTCCAGCGAGGAACAATACCACATTTGAATTCTGGCTGTAAAATGATGGAAGGCTGGCAATTAAGTTAAATATGCAGCCCTTCAGCAGACTGTGATGGTTTGGCTCACAGTGCAGGCACTATCAGACTATTGAATTTCAACTCAGCCAATATTTGATGGATTCTTATGATTAAGTTTCAAAAAGAATGAGGGTATAAGTCCACTTTTTAAAAAAAACCATTGGAGGAAGTACGAATAAAAGAAAGTAGGTTTATTGTTTTTACAACCGGGTGTCTGGATTACACACATTGGATGTTTTAGAAAGTGAGGGGCATGATTTAATTTCATTTTGAGATATTTGAATTACAGGCTGTGAGAACACAATGTCCGCGGCAAATGAAGTTCTCTTGTTGTTAACACTGCTCAGAAAATGCTTGTAGTTACAGAAAGTGGGAGAGAAATTGGAAAAATATGCAAATGAGTTCTTGTCCGTGAACCACAGTTGCTCAAAGTAAGAAAACTTATACTGTACATGGCTCAACCAGGGAGTGGTTTGAAAAATAGATTTATGTTTTGTGTTCATTTTACAACATGTTCACTTGCATGAATCACACTAAAACAATACATTGTCACCAATGTATAACAATGTTAACATTTGAACACGATAGACTAAAATAAACTACCTTGAAATGTTCATTACCTCTGCAGATTATCCTTGTTTTGGCTCAGAGCATTTGTGCTTTGAGAGCTTTGTCTTGGTTTAGCTCCAATTAGGCTGTCCTACTCGAGATTAAGAGATCAGAGGAGAAACTCCCACTAACATCCCAGGTTTTATGTCAAAGGCTCTCCACTCTGTACAAGAAGTCTCAGACAAAGGAGACAGATTCTGGAAAGCCTCTTAGATGTGAGTGAAAGTTCAGTTTTGTTCTTAGTGAATCAACAAAGTTCAGCCTGACATGTATAAACACTTTGGTTTACTTCCCCATGAAGTGCTGTGAAAATGACTCCTGTCGACGACTGCAGTGCACCACCTGCCATAGTTCTATAATCTGATTACACATGTAACCACTCCACCATGAATAAAACTGATTACAGTAATCAGCTAGTAGAATAATGTATACTACAGCATAAAAATGTCATAGTATATTCATTCTTCAGAAACCTCACAAAAACATCATCACATCCTGCCCAGTTATTTCCTGACTCTCTAATGTTTGGTCACTTTCTGCAACATCCACTGAGCCTCCATCTACATCGCTATCAGTGAAGAGAACTGTGCAGAACAGTAGACACTGTATGCATGAGAGCACCCTGAGATTACAAAGCACACCCACATCCAGTCCCAGGAGTTACAATTACAAACACTGTCAGACTACATATACTCATCTCTGAGAGGCAATTACTTCACTAGCTACACAATTTCACACTGTGACAAACTGCTGTCTTCATTATTTTAGGCATCACAACTCAGTCACACACAGAGCTGTATAGCTGGAATACATGGCAGGCCTGTGCAGTCATACTGTGTTGCAAACTGAAAAGATGCTTTATTATCCCTGAAGACATGTATATAAAGAAATCCGCAATTCTCTCAGGATTAATTCAATAAAGTGTTATTGTCATTTCAGGGGAAACATAGCAAATGGTGATTTGATAACTGCTGTTGATGGATTTTCCATCTGTTTCGCCCTTAAATTTCATGAAACAATGGAAGTTTTTTTACTGGGCACCAAGCAAGAGTGACTGCTGCTGTCAATCTGTACACTAGAAATCAAGTTTGTTGTGTTGTAGCGTTGACGCTGCAGAGCTCGTCGATATTAGGTGCATTGTGCCCTTAAATGAACTAAAGTCAGTGCACCTGAGGAAATACAGAGTGCTGTGAAAGCAATATGTGACAGTTTATGAGTCCATACTGGGCGGTAAGACTTGTAGCATCTTTAATTACACTGAGCACAGTAGTTGTTTCTAGACACAGCTGGATAGTGGTGTTACACTGTGTTTCAACAGTTCTCTCCAGCAAACATTCATTGCTGTTCCAGGTCTTTTCTCAAAATATCAAACTGTCTGACATGGTAACATTCAGAAAAATACAGATCAAAGGAAAAGGATGACAGGTTGTTTTGGATGGTTGGCGTTACTGAAAGTTAAAAAAAGAAAAGCCCTTCATCTAATAGGCACTATAACTGGCTGCTAAATAACATGGGAGTTGTTTCTCATTAGTTGTGTCCGTTGAGTCGAAGGCTGGTCTAATACTGTCTGATAGAGGCAGTTCAGAGCAAATAACTTGTCCACCCTCCCACTCACTGGCTGCCAAAATAATAGGATGTATGGCTGCCAAACAAATAGGGGAATTTGTGCGTCTGACTGACTTTGTTTAAAATTATGTTGGGCAGTGTGAACCGCATACAAAAACAGATTAAACAAATAAGCAAAAACTGATTTAGAATGAAGAAAAACAGCAGGTGTGGGTTTTGTTAAGAGAGTCTTGCAACAGTGCACTCCAAACAAAATCTAATTTTGTATGACTGACTGCTTCCAGCAAATTATTGGGTGCTAAATTTTAAGTATGTATTTGTGAAGTTGTGTTTTATTTGCGGCCAAGATGAGAGCAGATATCAATTCAAGGGTTCCTCACTGAAACAAGGACCATTTCGTCACCCATCACAAAGCTGTGCTGAGTTCTCTGATTCCTCTGATGAAGCATTCTTTATTAATACCTGGACAAATCACCATTATATTAGCAATCTGTTCATCTTTGATCGTAAGAAAAGAGACTAAAGTTATGTCCAATTTCAGAGGCCAAGCCGAAATGAGAGACCTAGCTAGATTGTTAGCTTCGTCACTTGTACACAATAAATCCTGGGATACAGCAAGCAGGAAATACTTGATACACTTAACATGGACTAGTGGCACAGCTGTGACGTAATGTGGTTTCATGAGGGGGCTGTTGGGCTTTGGTTTAGGGACTCACTTTACTGAACGCCCCTCTAGTTAAAATATTTGTAAAACATATACTATACTGCCAGCATTGGCAGAGAACTCACACTTTGTTCACTTGTGAACAAACCAACCGACTCTCATGCCCTCAAATAAAGAAGTGATACAGCTAACTGATACACAGCCTGCAGCAGGTCTGACCTTGTTTACATGCAACAGCGCACTGGGGGGCTGTTCGAAATTGACTTGTTATTCTGAATCCCTGCAGCACCATCTTTGGTTAAAAAAACACATCTTTGGTCCCCTCTGCAGCAAAGTGACCAGATTTTGGTGCATGAGCATCAATCCTAAAAAGAAATTTCATTTCAAGGAGTCAGCTGTCTCAAGTCTGCTCACACAGCAGGATAATCTGCACCAACCACTGTGCAGCCATCGGGAAGAGTTATGGTTGCCTATTCTATTTGAAGTCAAACTACAGGTCCTTTACTGACGGTAAAGGTTTTCTATATATTTATCAGTAGATATAGTATCAATAAACAGGCTACAATCAAATTCCATGTGAAATTATTCATCAACTTTGTTCCGTTTCTCCCAAAAACTTTTTTTATTCAGTTTAGTTTGATTGGCGATGAATGTAAACTGTGACACACACACGCACGCATGCACACACGCACACACACAGTATCCCTCTCTAGTTCTGGCTCAGTTGTTCCTGCCTGCAGTGACAGAGGGGATTATTGAAGAATGTGCAATGTTGGATTTCATGAACACACACATGAACACATGCACGCACACACAAACGCACACGCACACACACACACACACACACACACACACACACACACACACACACACACACCGTCCACAGCGGGTTCTTACTGTGCTCCTCTCTCTGAGCACCGAGAGCACTGCCTTATTTTATCGAGAACCCACATGACACTTGGAATAATGCTGCATTTACTGTTGCTTTATCTTAAATAGAAACACAGGTAACTTTAAAAAACCATTAGAGATTCATTCATAGCTTTTTGTGCATGTAGGAGGGTCACAGATGGACACCTGCTGTGGACTTGATTGACTCTCTAACGACTTGAAATATTACCATGGCAACTCCACTATGTACGCACACACACACATGGTACAGCCTGCAGACTGATCATTAGAGTCTTGTGATCTTTCTCCTCTGTGTCCTCTCCGACCCCCTATTGCCCTTCCATTGGATCCAAGCAAATTGCCCCCCTCCCTTTATCGCATCATTCTTCCCTACATCCCCCTTCGTCCCTCGTTCCCTTCTCCAGCCCCCTGATTGTCTGTAATGGCCATTTATATCCTCCCTCCCACTTATCATTTCATCCACATCCTTATCTTTCGCACTATCCTCATATGCTTTGGAACTATCTTTACCTTCATCTGTCCATCCCTTTTTCATTATCTGCCACTGCCTCCATCCATTTGCCCTACTTCCCTCTTTCCCTGCCTCCCTCCTATAGTCCATCCATCCATCCCTTCATGTTTCTCTTTTCCCTCCACCACACCTAATACCATCCATCTTCTCCAATAATTACCCAGTTGAAGGTTTTAATTAGAGAAAGAGGAGCTGGCGTCTGGAGTGGCAGAGCCCTAATTGAAACCCCAATTAGTCTCCTCTGGTTGTCAGTATGCATAGGGAGCTGCCACTCTGCCGAAAATCAGATTTTCATCAGGAGGTGAATTTTCTGAGATGATTACTTTGACTTGTAATAAAATTTATTATGGTGGCAAATGAAAAGTGCAGGCAAGAATCAGTCTCCCTTATTACTAACGGTTATAATTGCCTCAAGCAATCGGCCTCAATCTACTCTGGAAATTAACGGCAGGAAGCTGCTGCAATTGGGGCAACGTGAAAACAAAAACAACAAAAAAGTCACTAAGGTAACTTGTTGCCGTGGTGATTACCATAGTGATGGCAAAGTCGTAGGAGAAGCAGCCACTCTGGTTTTGGGGAGGAGGGAAGTGTGGAACAAATGCAGGGATTGAAAATGATTTGTGTGTGTGTGCGCGCATGTGTGTGCGCGTGTGGAGAAAGAAAGAGGCGACAATGTGTTCAGCCTTTCAGTCAGTCTGAAGCCAATCAATGGGAGCTTATCAGGATGTGCTCTGCTCTGCGGCTGTCTGCGGTCGAATCCAGAGGCAGATACGACTGAGCCGGGTCTGTCTGGGATGGACTCAACAGGGGGTGGAAGAGGGAAGGCTTAACAAGTGTGTGAGTGTGTGAGTGTGTGTGTGTGTGTGTGTGTGTGAGTGTGAGTGTGTGTGTGTGTGTGTGTGTGTGTGTGTGTGTGTGTGTGTGTGGATGTGAGCATTCATGTATAATGTGTATTGCTTGATCTGGAGAAGGACAGAGGGAAGAGTGTGTGGGTGTTTTGTCAGTCAGGCGGAACATGTGTGTTAAGGGTTTGGTGACGTACAATATTTATTAGAACACAGTGAATATTCCTGTCCATCAAACTATTCACATACAAGGCTTACAGATAGCAATGGCAGATGTACCATTTGAAATATAATAGTAATAAAATGTTTAAGAATTTAATTGTTAAAACAATGTACCTTTAACTTATGACAAAGTGATCAAAAGCAGGAATTTTAATTCTATCCAGCGATTACTACAGAATTACCTGCCGACTTATGATATATAAAGCTATGACATTAAATTATAGACAGGAGAGATGCTGACACTTAACATTCATGACCATCATGCACACAGTCAGCTGTATTTTGTATTATTTGTCTGTACATAAAGATGGACAAGGTGACTGCTCCCTAAAAGTTAAGGAAAAACATCTTGATCACAACCTGTTGGCCACCTGCAGTATGGGTCATAAATCCTGCCTCCATCATATAAGTGGATGGGACATGGGCCAAACTAAAAAGTCAATTACACATCAAACAATCTCTTTTAAAGATGATTTATGTAATCGCAGGTAGTTCTTATCAAAGTGATGTCAAAACCGGTTAAACCGAAATGAGACAGTCTGGTCAACAGTGGTTTCAATGATCAGAATCAGAGTCGCAGAGCTAATGTGGGACACTACAAAAACTTTTAATGCCACTTAATTTTTTTTAACGTGTACCTGTTTGGTTGAGTTGAAGCGTGATACTCCAGCATTGGATGTCGCTTGCCGGTGAAGGATCCACGTGTCGGGGCTGTCGTTGCTCAGGCGACGTAAGGATGCATTCGTCAGCCAAGTGAAGGAGCCTTCGAAATGGGACAGTCTGCGATGCAATCAGTCTCTCAGCCCCTGAGTTGAGACAGAGTTGATGGTTAACAACTGTAGGAAGCTAGTCAGAGCAGACAAACATGCTGTTTAGTTCATTTCTCATTATTACTATTGGTTTTTGGAAGGAATCCTCCAAACTCTTTGTCACTATAGCAACTATGAATCTTACAAGAGCTCCATGCACACTGCTTTCAACATGCAGGCAAATCAATCACTGTATGCTGGAGACTTTTCATGTCAGCTGGGTGTAAACATTCCCAAAAAACGGAATGCAGCAATTATTGAATGATTGAGAGAAAGAAGGAGGGAGAGAGAGAGAAGAGATGAATAAATGTGTGTAATTGTTCCACTTAGGCTTTGAGCCAAATGCCTAATTGTAAATCCAAAGCATACTGAGTGCATTAGGTTGGGTCCTCACACTTTTTCATGCACACATATACTCACTGGGGATAAGAAAAGAGAGGGAGAAGGGGAAGAGAGAGAGAGATGAGGGGAGAAGGGTGATGGAGTAGAGACAAAATTCACAATGACAAAAGCGAGACAAATCAGGGGTAAGGGGCAGGCACTGCGGCTGGAGGGAGACAGAGGGAGAGAAAGGATAAAGGGTGCAAATCTACAGGCAGAAGTGTAGTAAAAAAGGAGCTGAGAATAAATCAATAAGCATATCAGTGCAACAGAGAAAGAGAGACGGGAAGAGAAAGGGACAAACAGGCTGATAGACAGCTAATCAGAACCCACCAGGCACAAAGACACAGAAAACATATCAAACAGAGACAGAATCAAATAGAAGCTACATTAAAACTCCACGTAAACCAATTAATGACATGTCTTCAATGTAGATTCAATAAAAGACTATGTTAACATGGACGTCAATATTCCGACAGTCCTTATTTAAGTCTATTATGGTCTTTAAATGAGTAGATAATATTTATCTGTTTCACTGTTTATATTCTCTGTTTGCACTGTATAAATTATTTAAATTCTATCTATATTTTAATTTCCCTTGTGTTTATATTGCATTGTTACTCATTACTTATGATGTCCATTATTTGCCGGTCCTCTTCGCTGCTGCAACACAGCAAATGTCCCCACTGTGCTTCTAATAACGAATTCACTTATCTTAATATAATATTCCATCCATATTCCTGTTTACGTTAAAGAAGAGCAGACCCTGATTATGACTTGCGTCCACGACATCATTATGTCTAACACTGTCTTGCTAACTTTAAAACCCTAAAACTGAAATAATTTCATGCATGATGCTACTGTAAATCATGTTTGGTGTCTTTTATTAACTCCTTCTTAAGTCAATGACGCAGAATACAGTGAAAACTCCAATAGGACATTATAATGTGATAAAGCCACACTCATGATATACAGAATGAAGGCATATACATATTGCATCTTATAATTATGACCTTATTGACGTTAAGGAAATCCGAAGATGCTGTTTACACCAATTATTTCACACCAAGTCAAACACAACAAGTCAATGTTTGTGATATCGAACCAAGTAAAAGGTCCTGACCATTAACTAACACATTCATATCCAGTCAAAGCAAAGAGGAAATTCAGATACAGCCAGATTCATGTCCTCAACCTTGTGAGTTAATTCTTTGCTGTAACACAACTAGTTCCACTCTCAAACAGCCAAGAGACAAACAATTCAAAATTCAGAGTCCATTATTGTGGGCTTATTCGATTGTTGCTTGTGTTTTGTTTGGCTAACATCACCGCTTCACAATTTCCCCCCAGTATATTATCAGTCATGGCCAGCATTAGCTCAGAAGTAGCATAGCATTAAATGTTTGTTAGCATGGTAAGCTACCCTCATTTAACAGTCGCATTGCTTCAGCTTGTTGTGAAAGCGATCACAGCAGTTCACAACAAATATCAACAGGAGCAAGTTACTGAGTGTTTGTAAAGTTACCAGGTGTTTGTGAGACTCCAGCCTTGTGCTCCGTGTTGTGTTTCCTGGTTCAACTATCAAACCAGCACTAACGGAGTCCAAAGGTTTATATAGAGGGGGGAACCTGGGCTGTACCATGTGCGCAAACTGCAGAGGGGTGTTGCTGTTAGTGTGGGTGAAATGCTTTTGCTTGAAATAATGTTCAGACAAGATATTTCTGTAGTAAGCAAAAGTAGTGTTGTGTACAGCAACGTTTTAAGTGTATCTTGATTGATAATATTGCATAATATTAGAGTGATATTTGTTAATAATAAATTATTTCACCTGTGAGGGGCTTCTACAATAAAGCAGCCCTCCGGTCAAGCGCAGCAAGCAGGAAGTGCCAGTGTCCTGTAGAGCTCAACGGTGTGAATCCAGAAGTAAAAATCCCATTCATGTCTAAAATAAGACTTTTCATGATAAGCGATAATATTTGAACCATCCAAACTAGAGTTAAATAATAATAATAATAATAATAAATAAAATGTTTTATGGTCACAATTCATCTTGTAGTTGGTCGGCCCTGATCCACATGACATTTTTATCATTTCTTTCCCCACAATTTCGCTTTGATTTTTTCGCGGATTCTGAGTCAAGTCTTACACGTGTACAAAATGATTTGACATTAACAATGCATCAGCTGACTGTATAATGTTTATATAGGTTGCTTATAGGATCCACTAAGAATTACCATTCAACTCTGCACTTCCTCTTTTTTATTATTCATTGCATGTGTGAAGTCAACTGGGAAACAGTAGCAGGAAGCAATTATAATCATTATTATATTAGTATAGTAAACATATACCACCAGTCCAGTCATATTGTGAATGTTGTTATGTGGTCATGAAGATAATATCCAGGTTTATTGATTGTTTCAGAGCAGGTATATTTCTTTGACTCGCTCAAAACACACATCTGCCACAGTCCTCAATCAGCAGGATACACCTGGATGCTCGTGTGCACGTTAGCACCGGAGTGCACTTGTTTCTATCCCGACTGTAACATTCACTTCAGTTACAGTATGAAAACTCAATCCCATATGTTCTTCATTTACAGTCAATAATTCAGGTTACTGTAGCTCCCAGGGAACCAGTGTTCAAAGCCAGCCAGTGCATGTGTGTCTTGTATGAGTGTGTGTTTGTGTAGCTATGCCCTCTAGTCAGAGAGAAAGCAGCAGGGTACCTTGGCATCACCTTTCTTCCTTGCTTTCCCTCTCGTCCCCTGAAGACTTCCTCTCTCTTCTTCATCCCATATCTTCCACCTCCCTTATTTCCACCCCCCTACCCCCACCCCAATTCTCTTTGACACACACACACACATACACGTTCTTGTTGTTATCCCCGGCACACAGAATCTCTTACAGAAAGCCTAACCTGCCAAAAGGTATGAAGACAAAAACCCCAAAGCACTGTCGATACCACTGACAGATTGACTGTTTCTCTGCAATGCATTAGCTGCTCTGTGCTGTTTCTTTTCTTCACGCTCCGTCTGTGCAGCAGTCATGCTTGGAGGGTTACATTGGATTGTCCTTGACTGTCCTGGTTCCAGCGCGGCCACACACGCTTTAAACTGTTTTCTATTCTCTGTGAAGCTGTTTTTATTGCATTGGTTTCTCATATTACTCTAAAAAAAATGTTATTATTCCCATTGGCCCACATTGGTGCTGTCACTCAAATCCTCCTCTTCGCTGTTTGCACATAATGATATATTTTGTCAGGTTACACCAGATTATGACCCCAGGTTATTAAGGCTGCAGGTGTTGGAGAAAAAAAAGTTCCCCAATGTTTTCGCTCACATCCCAGAATGCCTTGCAGCGCCCCTGTAGCCCTTTGCTGTGCTGTAATGTGTTATATGCAGTGTCATGCATCATAGGACCTGGAGTCGTACTCAGCTTCAATCTGGGTAAGTGTTTTTTAATCCACTAAAACATAAATGCATCAAATAAACTCGATATTTTCAGCTGCTCCTTTGACTGTGACCCTCTTCTCTCTTGTTCGGCTGTTTTCTTACATTTGCATCAGTCTGACGATGATTCCTCTGAGGCAACAGCAATGTCGTCTGTATTGAATTTTCACAATTTATAGACATTTTAATCTTCATCTTTGTTGCACTGATAATGCTAATGAAAGGGATTTTTCATGTATGACCAATATATCCAGAGGTTCCCACATTGTTTATTCTCAACAGGTAAGCTGGTTAAAATCAGTGGTGTAATCTGAAGAGGATATATTTAAGTGACAATCGAATTGAGCTGAGTGAAATACAGTAAGAGTAGATACAGTTAAAAGACGTGTGACGTATTTTCTGTAAAAGAGTTGATTGGATTTCACATTTTGTTTGACAAATCAAAGTTTTGAATTTTGTCAAATATCAAATGCAACTGACAGTTATAATATGAAAATGTGAATACCTGAACCAACTTTGCTGGTTGCCAGGCAACCTCACAGCACCGACACAGTAGGAGTCGGCCTTACTACTCCAACAACATGGACACCTCAGAGGAGGCAACAGGTGAGGAGTCTGGTGCTGCCATCCAAACCTGGTTTACTGTAATATCCAGGAACTCTTATCTGAAATCTGCTCCCGCCTCCTAATGAACAATCCAAATCAAAAAAGAAAAAAACAGAGAGAATGCAGAGACCTCAGGATGAAAGACACACAGACGACGCAGACAAAGATGTCCACTTGGAAAGACAATGAGATTCAAGAGCTTTTGGTGAACACATGATTTCCACAACAGAATTTGTACATCATATCCCGCCTCCTGCATGTTCTACCCAGCAGCCACCTCTCAACTGGATGCTCTGGATTTCCCTGTGGTTGTGAACAAAACTGACCTTCACAATCCCTTGCTGTGTTCTTAATATGTAAATGACAATCTCCAGAAATGTCAAGACCCAATTTTCTGGACATTTTCTGGGTTTCTGGTCTGGGAAAACAGCTTCAGTAACTTCAGTCTATCTTCTCACTGTATAATCATCAATTTGCTAGAGTTAGAATTTAATTGTCAAAGATCATTTAGAACTGCACTTCATGAACCTGGCTAAAATGTCCCATCTTAAAAGTTCAGTATGTTGAATTTAGTGACATCCAGTATTGAAGTTGCATGTTGCAGCCATAGAGAGGACCCCCCTCCATGTATATATACAGTTTTTAAATATGTGGGACTCATTCTATGGTAAAGAAAACAACAATTTGTGCAATTTAGATGAAACACACTAGTGAAAACAACACCAGGATTATTTTATATTTAATTTCTGCCAGTCGATCCCTTTCACCTAAATATTACACACTGAACCTTTAAAACACTGTGGAATACTACCACTCATCACTTCGACTACATGGAAATAATGTGAAGGGAATGAAAGGCCAGAGTTTGTCACTAACAACCAGCCTCCACACATTATGGTAACTACTCACTGCATCACTGACACATGGAGGCTGAAGGCCTGAATGCTGTCGCTATGATGCCAGAGAGACAAACTGCTGCCAACGTTGCCGTCTGTCACATCATTCAAGCAAACAGACACTTATTATGGAACCAAAGTGATCCATCCTGCATGTGCGGACACAGCACGTCTCATTAATTTCGCCTGAGTTTCCAAACAGCCACTGGACCACGGAGAGTAAGCTCTGAAACTGTCCTTCTGCAAGTGTGTAAAAGTGGGACAGTAGCTCCATGTTTCTGACAGCGTGGACGTGGAAACAGGACGTCTATGCCTCAAATGCAGTCGGCTGTGTTGTCTCCCTCCGTGCTCTTTCTTCCCTGCTGCTCGCAGGCTCGTGTCTTATGCAAGAATCTTCACGAGGACTCGCCCGCACACACACACTAACACACACAGAGACACAAATGTCAGCCAATATTTCCCATTCTCTACGGCAAAATGTCAATGCCAGGGACAGAGCTCGTCCTCCTTCCTGCCATTCTGTCTCTCTGTCCGTCCGCCTGCGTCCCACTGACATGTGCTGTCACCGCCTGACATGTCACATGCTCGGGGGTCACAGAACAAACTCGCTGGTTGAATACTACTCAGGTGTGTCACACAGGGTTGGGTGGACTAGGACGTTACGTTAAATGCACTGAATGCATAAAATATGTAGGAAAGGACGATATTGACAATTAGGGGAGTTATTTTGATGCTGGTTGTGTGAAGAGGCTGCATTTTATGTCATAACATTTCAAGACTTGACCTCAGCCTGACAGGAAACATGCTGATGTGGGCCAGAATCTACCTGAGAGGACAGATGATTACATTTGGCTCCAGGCGGTGCAGGGTCATGCATTGTTGTGCTCAGTCCCCCGCAGGATCACATTCACCTTGGATGGCGAGACCATTAAAGTCCAGCCACTAAACAAACTGTAGTGTGTTGAGGAGTGAATGTGTGGAGGGAGCATAGGAACCCACAAAGTCCAAATTAAGACTGACATTTTTAGTGCACCATCTCGTAGTTAGCATGCATACACAAGGTATTGATATTGTTGCAAGGGAACATTTGACACTTTTTCATTGGCTGTTATCCAGATACATTGGCATTTGAAATAATATATATTTTCCCCATAATTTGTTTAAAAAATGACATGTCTAAAATATAAATAGATTTATAAGGTTTACCTTAACATACAGTATTAAACATAGTTTTGTCGGCTGGATACTTTATTACTTCATTACAAAAAAAAATCCCAATACATACTGTAAATAAAAATGCAGCTCCTCATAGCAATTGCTTATAAAGATAATTTTGAACATAAAATAATCCTTTATTTCTACCAAAACAGGGGCAGAGAGGACAGTCATAAAAGAACAGCAGTGAAGTTATAATGAGTAAAAATGCAATAATTGTGGATTGAGGTGACAAAAGGGGTGATTTTTAATCAGCGACAAATTCTGTTAAATATCAGATGCTGGATTTGATTAAACGAGTTCATCAAGATGGATTTAAAAACCTCATCCATTGCATTTCCATGTTGGACCACGTTCAGGTATGTTATAGACCATTTTTGATCTAACACTGTTGATGAGTGTTAAGCCTTTAAT